ATTGTGTTCAGAGCTTGACAGAGAAACTGCCTCTCCTTTGCATGGGTCCAATGTGGTCCCCCTTCGTGCAGCATCACCAGCCTCCACACTTTGTATGTTCCAGGAGATCTAGTTATTTATTTATGCAGCGGGCATGTGTGTGATGTGCTCTACTGGAAGGAAACAGCTAATAACTTCGTATCCTAAAACTCTCAGGGGCCAACCTGCTGTTGCATTTAGATTCTGCAGAGGCCACCTCTCTTCCAGCTCACTGCAGAGCCTCTGCTAATCACTATTAACAATGGGATTTTTGTCTCCCTTGAAAACTTTCTTGTTCCCTTTCAGTGGAGGTGGAGACAGTCACTAAAACCACCAACAACAGGTATTTGCAGTGTCTGGTTGCCTTTCTATGCTCATATTAAGAAACACTTTGTTAATTTAGCAGACGGTCTAGTAAAGAGGCAAGAGGGATGGCAAGCTCCAGGCACAGACTAAAATGGTTGAAAGAAATGCCATTTTTTCAGTAGTTTGGGAATGCTAATATATGATGGGATAAGATGATAAAATAAAAGAGACTATGGAAATGAAAAAAATGTTCTAAAATAATTTCAAAAACAGAACAAACAATCAAAACATTTTTCTAGGACTAGGTTTAGACACTTTGGGCAATTTCAACATAAACCACAATTTCAGCTTATTTTTCTTGCCACCTCTTCCGTCCCCACTCAAACATACTAACTAAGCTAACAAAACCCACCTGCTAGCTCCACTAAACAACCTCTCAAGGAGAGAGATGCTCACCAGTACACATTTCCCCTGTGACTTTTGACAGCTTTGATTATTGGGATTTTCTTATAATCTATAGTGGCAATTAATGTGATTCTTTGGTCAGTTTCTCATCTCTTCCTGCAATGATTTAATATTTATAACTGCAGTTCACTTGCAAAATTAGTGCTTTTTCAACATGTCACAAATTCAACCCAGAGCAAAGACAAGCTTATTTTCCTGCATCTGTATTCCCAGGGCATTAGAGGGGAGGGAGGAGCTAATGCCTCTGTAGAGCAGAATTCCCTTTGCATTTTACCAATTCCTTCTCTCAACTCATGCTTCCGCATATTGCTTATGCTAAAAGCATTCATAAGGGTCAGATTATGCAAAGCGTAACTTAATTTCTGAGACATTGCTTTTAACCTGCCACCCTTGGTTCCCATCCTTGACTATAGTAATTCTTAAGTAATGAGCATTTTTGAGCAGAACATACAATACATCAAATATTTAGTTTGAGAAACATCCCGAATATTAGGCTATTTTCTGATTTTCTAAAACATTTTTTTTCACCCAACAATTGTCTTTGAAAAAAGAAAAGTTCAAATTCCCAGTTCTGAAAAAAATTATTCATTAAAAATAAATTCCAACATGAGAATGAGGAGGGCAGAGTTTAACTATAGCACTCCCTACGACTTTGATGATCACAAGATTCTCGATGACTTAATGAAGCAATCTCTTGAAGGAAAAAAAAAGAAAAGAGCAGATGCTAACTATTTTAACAAAAATATAACCCAATCAAAACCACTTTGGGAAGAAAAGTTAAATTTGTTTGTGTGTTTGGTTATTTTTTTAGTCTTGTTAGAAAATCTAACTAATTTTTAAAGAATTCCCTAGTTAAGTAATTTCCCTTAAAGGAGTCACTAATTTCCGGTAGTGAGCACATTTTGAGGGAGTTGTAGTAATCAAGATGAAGTGAGACTCACTTCACTTGTTCCATCAAGTCCATCCTAACTTCAAGTGTATTTTATCCATTTTGAAGTGGCACCTTCAAAATAGACACAGTAGTTTTACCTAAAATAAATAAATAAATGAAATATAAGTTAAAAAAATCTCTCCACAAAAGAAATACTCTAACAAGTAACCTCTGCAACTACCTGAGTCTTTAATGAAAAAAAATAAATAAAAGTTACCTAACTTGTTGTGAAGTGGGAAGTACTGTTTCTCTGGAAAATCAAGTACAACACCCGGAAAATTGTCATTCTTCATAGACTTTCTCAGTATGGAATGGGGTGAGGCAAAGAGCTGCTGAGTTATTTGTCAAAATAAGCACAGGGACATCATCCTAGGAAGCATGTGCCAGATGGACAGGTGGCCGCAGTTACACTGGAAAACCTGAACTGTTAGAAGTTTTAGGAACCCAGCTGCAAATAGAATTGTGGTACAAGACCTAGGCTATAGGGTGGCATGCAAGTGGAACTAGCATGCTTTTGAATGAAATGCAGAGGACTTTATCACACTTTAAGATTCATTATTAGAAGGCCAACATAGTACTCCTGACTTAGCTGCAGCAGTACATGCAGAAAAATCCAGATTCTGGCGGCACATGCAGCAGGTTCCATCAAGTCATGCCTGAGGCCACAAGTTCTGTTGGAGGAGTAAATCAAAATCTACATTGTCACACCTGCAACTAAGTCTTCTGGGTCTTACAAAGTCCTATGCAGGTAGACTTCAGCTAAGAAAGGGGCTTAAACAGAATTGTCTCTGGGCAGGAGGGAAATGTATTAAAAAAAAAAACAAAAACAAATGAAGACAACTGCAATTAATCTTGCCAAAGTCAGGTGAGATCAGAGCAAAAAACTAAGACCCAAAGGTTTTGATGTTTTCCAAAGTTAATTGTATCAAAGTTCTAAGAATAGGGGTGTTTGTAAACATGAACTTACTTGTATATCAAATTCCAGACATCAACTTTAGTCTTAATTATTAGTTTTGTATGATTCCACAATGCTCTCCTATTTTATTGTTCAAATTCTAGATGAAATGTTCTTTCTTTAGAATCAATCTGGCCTTTTTTCATTGAATCTTCCTTAATATTATTTTAGTTTTCATGGAACACACAAACATTTGCTAGATTGGAGTTTTAGCAAGCAAAATGGATGCGCTTTAATTTATCTGTTCTGTGTTGACAAGGATAAACTTACTCTCCTGCCTTACACAAGAAACATGTTAGAAATATCTTAATGCATTAAAAAATACATGAAGTAGCAAGGTGAAATGCTTTAAAGTAATAACAGTGGTGTTTGGATGAGATAATTCACTATTGGAATCCTCTAGATAATCCCAAAGTGGCCTGAATTCCTTTGCAGGATGAGTGTCTATAGAGGCAGACAGAGAGCCTCTTGTCATTGTACCCTTAATCCTCTGCCTAAAGCGTGAAAAGTGCTCAGGGTAACAAGGGTGGGATCACTAAAATCAACATGATTTTGGGTTTATATTCTTGACAATGCTAACTGATCAATAGGCTTTCGGGAGCTGACAAATCAATCTGGTGTAGCCCGGCCTCTCCCCCTCCCCCTCCCGCTTACATCCTGCTCCTGAATCTCCATTCACACCGAGGTCAGGGGAAGAATGCTGTCTACAGACAGTATGAGAGCTATCATGGCCGTGCTTAGATAACTTTTATGGGCACTTTCAATAGTGTTTGTATTTTTAATTGTGAGGCTAGCCCTCTCTTTTCTGCCCAGGAACATTCATATCATCAAGAGAAGTTTTCTTCTGGACCTTAAGTGTTTAGAGGCAGTGGGAGAAAAAGGAGAGCAGAGGTTACAGGAAATGTAGAGGATGCTCTCTTACAGCTTTTATACAAGTCTTACCCAGATCCTATAACACCATTAGATTCCAGGAATCTTGAAATAAAAGTAAAAGAGAAAATTTAGACCCCACAGACAGCATGCCTCTATGGCAGAGAATTAATGAGGTTCAACAGGACACTGAACACATGATTGTGTCCCACAAACAACTGAGTTTCCCCTCACCAGCTCATGAAGACACAAGAACACACTTTTCTTTTAATTCCGGTCCTTGACACTCAGCAGGGACTTTTGTGAACTTTGTTGTCTCCCCCTGGCCTTGAGGCCAGCACTAGGGAGTGGATCTAATTAATGAGAGGTGGTGCATCGCTTTGCGTTGCAAGAGTCAGCCCCTGCCTCCAGGAGCTGCAAAACCACCGGCACTTTTAAATTTGGAGTATTCTTTTGCGAATCCCCTGTTGTAATTTATAATTCTCAGAGGACCTATATTTGTCTTGAACTGATCGTTTATATGGGCTTTCCAAGGAATTTCTTCACTACACTTGTTGTAGAACAGGGGAAGCGGGTGGCTGAACCCAAGGGGGGCTGTGTGGAGGCGGGAATAATCTCTAAGGAGGCTTTAAAACCGTCCGTGGTTAAAGTTACACTGATGAGAGGGACACACACACACACACACACACACACACACACACACACTGCACAAGTTCAGCGGGGCTGTATAATGAGCATGGACTGTAAATTCTGTAGGTAGCCAAATCAATTTTTTTTGAATCACAATTGCTCCCCAAAATGGCTATAAAACAACGCTTGCCTCGGGAGGTAAATTTATAGCCCGTGCCTCTCCCAGGCACGCCGGAGGGTTCTGCTCCCGGCTCTAATCTCTGCGAGATGTTTTTTGCATGTGTTGTGTGACAAGAGGGAAGGGGAGTGTGGGTTGAGCTCGCTCTTCTCCCATTGTCAGCGCGTCTAGTGAGTGTTGGGAAAACCTGTCCGCGGGATCCTGTGTCATCTTTCCCTGCTTGTGCACAGGAAAAGTCCGCGCTGCTCAAGGCTGCTCGCTCCCCCTCTCCTCTCTCTCTTTCTCTGTTTCCCTTTCATTCTGCTTCCTCGGAGCCGAATGAAGCAGAGAGAGCGAGCAGGGTTAGAGTCTGCCACCGGCTATCAGCGGAGCGGAGATAAAAGGAACTGCTTCTTAAGCGCCACTACCGCAGCCCTTGTTAATTTTTTTCTTCCTTCCACACAACAGTTGTGCCTCATTATCCGGTGCCTGGCTCGATTTTTTTTTTTCTTTTCCTTTTTTTTTTTTTTTTTTTTTTTTTTTTTTGGAGGGTTTGAAGTTTCTGTGATTCCCTGACTGTTACAGAAGAAGAGACGTTAGTGTTGCCATGAGGTCTTGATTGTCTGCATTTATGAATGAAACTGACCTAAATCACCTGTTACCTCCAGTTTCCAGATTGTTTGAACTTCTCTGGCCGCACAATACAGGAAGGAAGGCTGCAGCAGCCCAGGGACCTCCAGCGTCTGCAGCATGGGCTGGTTCACTGGGATTGCCTGTCTGTTCTGGGGTGTATTACTTACAGCAAGAGCAAACTATGCGAACGGGAAGAACAATGTGCCAAGACTGAAATTATCGTACAAAGGTAAAGCTTTCCTTTTCTTTTATTTGACTAGCTTTGTAGTACCCACTCCTTTCTTTCCTTGAACTCCCAACACTAACCATCAAACCTTTAGTTTAACCTGGGGAACCTGTGTCATTCGGTCAAAATTTCCTGTGAAAATTGAAACACTTTCCCTTAAACAACAAAAAAGCATGCCTTCTGTTTGATGTGTGACAACTTAAAAGCAAACAAAGAACATTTAATCACAGTGAGCTGTGTGCCTGCTCCATGCATGCTGATTTGAGTACCTTCTGATCACGCTATGTGCCGTTCATTCTTCTCACTTTACTTCTATTTAAATGTTTTAAAATAACCGTTAATACAAAAAAAAAATGCTTTTGTAATAGATAGTCATGCCTCACCTATAATTACCATTACAGTGAACAGTATCCACAGAGTTGTGGGCACTAAATGGTTAATCATCATCATGAATATTCAGTTTGTTCAAATCTGACACTCAGATGCTTACCATAAGCAGTAGATCATGGTTTGCCAAGAGAATATAAACTGGAGAGAACAGGCTAGTTTTTCCACACTGTGTTATGATAGTGAAAAGACTATTTCCCTAATTGGTGTAAAACTAGCCTTTGAAATATAATGTTATTTAATTCCATATGTGGTTAAGTGAGAATTAAAGAGATGTTAGTCTCTAGTGACACAGCTAGTTATATGAACTTCTTTTGAAGAAGTATAAATTTATAAAAGAAAACCTTGCGAGGTCTCATGATACTTTCTGTTATAGATTCATGTGTGTGTTTGTTTTCAGATGACAATTTTAAAGAAAATATTTGTTCTGTATTTGTTTGGAGAGATTTCAAAGTCTGATGTGTAAAGTAATGGTAAAACAATTTCTGAAGTGTGTGTGTGTGTGTGTGTGTGTGTGTGTGTGTGTGTGTGTGTACACAAAACTTTTAGTGCCAGAGAGTATTTCTCTGCCATGGCTGTTATTAAATGCAGTTAAGATTAAACAGTTTTAACTCTTGCAGCTTAACTCCCCAAGGTGCTGATTTCCTATGATTCTCAGATTTCTTGAATTGGGGGTGGGGTCCTGAGAGCTTCTACCTCTGCTATACATTTAGCTTACAAGGTACATGAAGAGTATTGGCTATTCTAGAGACATTTCCTTTTTTTACATGACTGATACAGAGAAAAATGTATTTCTAATTTTCACATGATAGAGGACAACTTTTTCTGATAGCTTTAGTGTGAATTGAGAGATCAATTAAGAAACAGGCATAATTTTCACACTATGCATGAGAAAATTAAACACCTATTAATGGGTGTATTTGGATTTTACTTAGGATAAAATACTTTGACTTAGAAAATTATTTTTAGTATAATATTTCATTAAGCATCTAGTTACATAAAGACTTAATGCAAGATAAGCAGTTGCATTAGTATATCAGTAATGAAAAATCTGTTACATATTTCATTAAGTCTTTATTATGTTTCTATATAATAAAAACAGTGAAATTACTTGCATACTATGTAAAATAATCTACATTTTCATTGGTCTTTGGTTTGTATTATTGAGAGGACACCATCAAGGTATCCTTAGATTGATAGTTTATTTTATTAAAGTTTATACTCCTTGTAAGTTTTACATTCAACTTTAGTTTTCAAAAATATGATTCTCAGGTTTGGATTTCTAAGATGTCGAATGGCTGCATACTATAATTTGATGTTAGCAAATTTGAAATAATGAAGTATATTTTAAGAATCTGATAGTCTTAGAGACACCTTTCTAATTGCTGAATAAACTGTACAATAAAATTAAAATTTATTATACTTCCTTACTCTGTGAGAATTTCATTTCCTTGCCAATAATTATTCTCAATCAGAGAAGAGACACCTATCATGCCTATGCATTCAAATCATGTAGATAGTGTTGAATTAAACCTGTTCTTTGTTATATACAGTATTTAACATTGTGTGATGAGGGCTGTATGTATTAACAAGAGGTATATGTGATATTGAGTCTATAAGTCTTACAGATTTTAGCTATGGTACCCATCATAATTTCTGTGCTTCCCTTTAAATCTAAAACTCCTCCCCAGCTCTATGCCGATTCTATTGATAGACCAAGAGCTTGGCAGTTTGTTAAGGCAAACTGTGAAGTGGACAACAGTGAGAAAAAGAGGCAGGGTTGGTTCCACTAGATTTTCTTCTGTCATCTTCTTAGTGTGCAATACCTTTGTGTCTCTGCACACAGGCTTGTTTTGCCAAAGCACATGCCTGATAATCAATTGTCAAGACTTTGCTTCTAACTGTAAGAGAGATTTGATTTAAATCTGCTTCTTTTTCTTCCATCTTAATTAGATGTCAAACACAGTTAAGATATCTACTGCATTGCTCTTACAAATATTGCAGCATGACTCATGAAGAGTTAAATCCCTGCCAAGCTTAATTTCCCATGGTCACTTGTCTTCAAAGATCCACCATTAACTCTCTCATTGCTCAGGTTGCCAAGATGAATTTTCAGGCAATCACTGTGCTTGCTCTCTGCTTGTCATCCTGCCTGGTGGGAGATGAAAGCAACTTGCTATGTTAAAGGAGAAAGGGCAGCAGAAAAGCACCAGGGCTGCTTCTCTAGTGGATGTGCTTCCTTCGCTAATACAGCACCTCGACTTTCTAGGAAAAGGGAGCTGAAGAGAAGTTTTCAGAACCATCTGGAGAAGTGATAATATTAGAAAAATGGGGTATGCTGGCTTCTCCTCTGAACCAGCCTGATTTAGAATCCTTGTGGGGGAAGAAAATGTGAGAACTCTGTAAATCTCAGCGTCACAGAAATTATCCTCAAGAAACATTCACTGAGAGATGCTTTTGCCTTCCTTGAGTATGTCAACAGTAAGAGGCTAAATATTCAAACCTCCCTCTTTTAAATTCGTACATAATTGTTTATTTCCTCTACAAAATTAGTCACATTTTACTCCTATTATGAAATACTAAGCAATCATATGATCTTTCATTTGGGAAGTGTGGTACAATGAAATCTTCAGAAAAACCTGTGTGAATCACAAGAAGAACGAAAAAAAAATTGGGAGTTTTAAACAAGTAACAAATGTTCCATCACTCAATGTAATGGGTTTTTCCAGTACACAATGTGCCTGAGCTTTAGAAGAAATCAAAGACACATGCAAAGATCAGTATGTCAGTGTCCAGTGAATTCAGAGGTTAAATCAATGATTTTAACCTTCCATTCATAAGGAAGATTTAGTCAACAGCACTTAAGTACAAGAGTGGGCATTTCAAAGGCTTTTTCCTTATCTGCTTACTTTTTTCTTGTCCCAGAATCAAGTTGTTTCATTATTGGGAAAATGAATTCACCTATTAAATCAAAATTTGTATATATCTTATGATATTAGAAGTCAATTTTCACTAATCAAAAATTTAAATAATATGTTCAAAAGTTGCTGTATCTTTTGCTCCATATATTATGATTACCTTAAAATAAATTAATATGGTTGCTGGCTTATATAACTTTACCTCTTTCTATGATGCAGTTAAAAAAAACATTTACCATAGAAATATTAATATATGACATATGTGTGTGGCTACTTCCATAAATATGTCATTATTACAAATAAACCTTCATATCCAATATTAATGCGTATAGTTGAATAAAGAATCAGCAGTATGAAAAATTTTAAATTTTGGTGATAAAAATTATTTTAAATGACATATTGTGAAATATATATATATACAATATATAAATATATTAGAGCAGTAGTTCTCAGCCTGTGGGTCTGATTCCTTTGAGCTTCACATATCAGATATCCTGCATATCAGATATTCACATTATGATTCATAACAGTAGTAAAATTACAGTTATGAAATAGAAACAAAATAATTTTATGATAGAAGTTCACCATTACATGAGGAATTATATTAAAGGGTCAGAGCATTAAAAAGGTTGAAAAACCACTGTATTAGAGTAATATATATATATATATATATATATATATATATATATATACATGTAAGATGTGACCTTCTAAATCCTATTAAAATGTTTCAAGAAGCTCTTAAATACATAATAGCATGGTATAAGATTTAGCTTACACTAATAACCCCTTCTTGGGTAAAATATATCTAGAACTGTGCATTCACAATACACAGGCACACACAAATGCACAGAATCACAGTTATAAATTCTTTTTACAGTTTTCTCAAATTGTTACTGCATGTTACTAGGTCTTTGACTTGATCAATCTTACTTAAAATAATCTTTTCTCACCAGATTTTATTTGCTTTCAAATCATATTTTGATTCTGAAGTTTTGAATTTAAGGTGATGAGAACTAGATTTTTGACACATCAGTTCAAGAGGTATGTTCTGACAAAATCATGAGAGGTGAAAATGCTATAAGGCACAGACATATCTTGTCATTCAACTCTGGTGATGTCAAATGAAGAAGGCTCCTGAAAGTCTCCAGTTTGTGGCCCTTCTGCTCAAGCTGCCAAGCAACTTGACCTTTGAAGTGACAGAATATACAGACCAGACTGTAGGAAACAGGAAACCACTGGGACTGTGAAATCATTTCATAGAACCCTCCTAACCTAACCCTTGTAATCATTAAGCCTGAAGTCTGAATGATTTCACATTGTGATTTCAGACTTCAGTCATCATGGGAAAGCTCTTGAAGACACTACAGGTGTCAAAAATAGGGTATCCTAGCAATTTAATGAACTAAACAGACAAAGGTCTGTGGTGTCAATTATTCTTTTATTCTGATATTTGAGAATCACAATATAATTGACAAACACAGTGTGATTTGGGATCAATTGCACTTACAACATATATTTAAGAAGTATGCAATCATTCAGGGATAAATTTGAATGGAATTGAATGAAGTGATTACATGCATCCCAATTGACAAAAACAGCTTTTAAACTGTTACTGTAGACATCATTATTGTGAGTATATGATTGTCTTATAGAAAAAAATTTGTATCATATTTCCAGATGTATACTTAAAAGTCC